CCATCAATAGATGAATGGATAAAGAAGGTGTGGTATATATATACAATGGAATATTATTCAGCCATAAACAAGAATGAAATCTTGCCATTTGTAACAACTTGGTTGGATCCAGAGGGTATTACGCTAAGTGAAATAAGTCAGACAGAGAAAAGCAATTACCATATGATATCAATTAAAAGTGGAATGTAAAAACAAAACAAATGAAAACAGATTCATAAATACAAAGAAGAAATAAATGGGTGTTTGCCAGAGGGGTGGAGGATAGAGGGTGGGCAAAACAGATGAGGGAATTAAGATGTACAAACTTCCAGTTATAAAATAAATAAGTCAATGACTTTATATGGGGACAGATGGTTGTAGATTTATGTTGGTGATCATTTTGTAATGTATTTAAATGTCAAATTACTTTGTTGCACACCTGAAACTAACATAATATTGTGTATCAACTATATTTCAATTAAATAAATAAAAATTTAAAAATAAAATAAAATGCAGGTAGTCTAACTATAGAACCTACCTCCTTAGCAACTATCCTCTAAAGATATTATGTCCTTGTGCACACTGCTGTATTTAAAATAGATAACCAACAAGGACCTACTGTATAGCACTGGGAAAAAAAAAAAGAGTATAGCTCTATGCTAAGCAGTATGGATGTATAAAAAAGAAGAATAAAATACTATCCCTGGTCTCAAAAAATAAAAAATAAAATAAAGATATTATATCTTCCTACTTAATAGAAGTTTCCATTAAAAATAAAATTTTAAATGCAATATTTTTAAAAAATCAAATTTGATGCAAAAAAGTACATGATAAACAAAATATCAATATTTCAAATAAAGAGGGGTCCACGCAAAAGCTCCTGAGTTGAACGCAACTGGGAAGTGCGAGGATCAGCCTTTCCTTTGTGAATCCTGGTATCACCATGGCAGGTCAGGGAAGGAAATGTTCCCTCATCCCAGAAACATGAATCTATCCCACAGCAGGATGGCAGGGTCCAACCTGTACCGACTAAAGCAAGCCACAACCCCACGCCATGGACCCAGGCACAGCTTCAGGCCTCTTCCTCCCTCCAAGCCGCTCAGCCTCCCACCCCTTCCCCTCCAGGACAATTCAGCCTCTGCCATACATGGATCTATATACATGTTTAATCATATATGGTACATACCATGTATAATCATGCATTAACTATTTACTCCAGAGGTCTCCGGTGGACTGCTGGAGGTCATCTTATTTAGCTCAGTTTTGTTGTTGTTGTTGTTTTTTTCAATTAATTACTTAAAAATTGGGAGAGCCTCACCAAAAAGTCCAAATTTCTAGCCTATCTCTAAAAAGCCAAATTTCGGGCTTCCCTTGTGGCGCAGTGGTTAAGAATCCTCCTGCCAATGCAGGGGACACAGATTCAAGCCCTGGTCCGGGAAGATTCCACAGGCCGTGGAGCAACTAAGCTCATGAGTCACAACTACTGAAGCCCAAGCACCTAGATCCTGTGCTCCGCAACAAGAGAAGCTACCGCAATGAGAAGCCCATGCACCGCAACGAAGAGTAGCCCCCCTTGCCGCAACTAGAGAAAGCCCGCTCACAGCAGCGAAGACCCAACACAGACAAAAATACATAAAAATAAAAAATAAATTAATTTTTTAAAAAAAGCCAAATTTCCAGCTTGAAAAATCTGTAAAAATCCAAATGTTTGGCAACTGATAACAACAATAATAATAATTTCCATTATTGAGAATATATTAAATGCTGAGCTCAGTGCTCAGTACTTTAGATATTTTTTCTCTTTTAACTGTCATAGCAATTCTGTACTTACCACACGCATTTTACAGATAATGAACCTGAGGCTCAGAACTCTTAAATAACTTGTCCCAAATCACACAGCTAATAAGCAGCCCGACCAGATTCAAACCAGGGGAGTTTGACTCTAAAGCTCGATCTCTCATTCTTCTGTATCTTCCACCGTCCTGGGGGCATGGACTAAACTACCGTTTTTCAAAAGTGTTCCAAGAAGCCTAAAAGGCCCTGTGTGAGTATTAAGGGGGTGGGGTGCCCCCAGCCCCACCAGGAGGCTGGCTCAGGTCCCAGGGCTCCTGCTTTTATCGGAACAGTTCCTTTTTTTCTTTTTTTTTTTTAACCATTTGATATATTGGAGTCCGGTTCAAGAATTCTTTGAGGAAAGAGAATTCCACTGCTCAGAAACAAAACCAAAACAAAGCAGCAAACCCAAATTGTCTTTTTATCTCTTCTCCACATACTATGATTTCCTGGATCATCAGGAAAACTTCCTCCTTCTCCCATTCCCAACCTACCAGATCTCGCTCCATGTTATCGCATCACTCTGGTTCTGCCTTTGAGCATTTGGGTGCTCGTTGGGCCACCTCTTACAAATGGTGAATGGCCAAGTATCCAGCGACTTAGGAGCCATGGAGCCATGGACCTTCCTCACAGACCTGCTGTGGGCAGACAGGGGCAGTCTAAAACTGTGCTGAGGTCAACACAGGGTGGACCAGGCTGATGGGGTGAGGGCAGCAGAAGCTAAAATCCACTGAGCCTGGTAGAGAGGCTGTCCCCTTGCTTCTCTTAGGTCTTTTATGGGTCATCATGAATTTCAGTCCTGTCATGGCTGTCTGTGAATTGAGGGTATTCTTTTTTTTGTGTGTGTGGCATGCGGGCCTCTCATTGTTGTGGCCTCTCCCGTTGCAGAGCACAGGCTCCGGACGCGCAGGCTCAGAGGCCATAGCTCACGGACCCAGCCGCTCCGCGGCATGTGGGATCTTCCCAAACCGGGGCACGAAGCCGTGTCCCCTGCATCGGCAGGCGGACTCTCAACCACTGCGCTACCAGGGAAGCCCGAGGGTGTTCTTTATGCAGTGTCAGGACAGGTGGCCTCAACGACTATACAGGGTAGTGAAAAGAGCCCTGGCAGAACCAGAGCTGAGCTCTCTCAGTGCGTGGCGCTTTATGACCTTGGACATATATAAAATGTGCATTGTTTCTCTCTGTGTACCTCACCCAACAGTCCTAGGGACACACGGCGACTACTTTCAAAAGCATAAAGTGACATAAGAATGGATATTGTGTTTTAATTACATGTACATGGTCTGATCAAGAAACTCAAGAAAAAGTGGGAGCTTCCAGATCCTCTTTGAAGACAGGATGCTGGAGCTAGCCTTGCCAATGTGATTTCAGCCTTGGATTCAAGGGCCATCCACTTACCAATGACTCCCAAATCCAAAACTCATTCAGATTTCTCTCCTGAGATTCCAACACATGGTTCCTACTCTGTATTGAATAGCTCCACTTGGATGTCCTGCACACTCCCCCAGCAATTTCCAAAATGGAACTCACCCACACCTCTCTGAAACCTGCTCCTACAGCAGTGTTCTAGTTCAGGAGCTGGCAATCCCATCCATACCTCCCGGAAACCTGGGAGCCATCCTTGACTGCTTCCCTGTTTCATTTCTCATGTTTAATCAGTGTCAAGGTTCTGTGGATTCAGTTCACTCCTCAAGAAGCTCTTGGATCTCTCCAGTCTCTCCACCTCCAATGGTGTGACGTGGACTAGACTGTGCCCATCTCTGGCCTGGATGACTACAATTATCACCTATTGGTTATCCTGCTTCTGGTCTTGTCCCCCATCCTGAGTCTCATGCTCCAAATCACCAGTTAGGTCTTTCTGAAACACATACATACAGAATAATGATCTTTCTAGAACACAAGCATGATCATGTTAGCCTCATGCTTAAATCCCTTTGATGGTTTCCAGTTTTTCTTAGGAAAATCCTAACTCTTTAACCTGCATGGCAAGGTTAGCCCCCTGCCCATCTCTCCAGCCATCTCTACTCTCAATACTCCAGCCAAACTGCATTTCTTTCAGTTCCCCAAACACATTCTATTTTCTCACTTCTACCCCTTTGCACATGTTCCTCCATCTGCTGAGGATATATACCCCCTGTGATGGTTAATTTTATGTGTCAGCTTAACTGGGCTAAGGAGTAAGTGGTAAAACATTATTTCTGGCTGTGTCTGTGACAGCGTTTCTGGAAGAGATTATCATTTGACTCAGTAGACTGAGTAAAGATCTCCCTCACCAAGGCAGATGGGTACCTTCCAATCGGTTGAAGGTCTGAATAGAAGAAAAAGATAGAGGAAGGGTGAATTTGCTGTCTGCTTGAGCTGGGACATCTATCTTCAGACTGGGACTTCCACCACTGGCTCCCCTGGGTCCCAGGCTTTTGGACTCAGACTGAAGTACACCACTGGCTTTCCTGGTTCTCCACCTTGCAGACCACAGATTGTGGGACTTCTAGGCCTCCATAACTGTGTTAGCCAATTCCTATAATAACTCCCCTCTTATATACATCTCTGTATACTTCCTGTGGGTTCTCCTTCTCAGGAGAACCCTGACTAATCCACTCCCATCAACTCCTACTCATCCTTGGGGTCTCAGCTTAGATGGCACTTTTTCTAGGAAGCTTTCAATGACCTTCTAAGACTGAGGTAGCTCCCCTTCTATTGCATTTCCACAAGCACCCTGTCCTACCTTCATCGAGCTCTTATCATAATGCACATGTTATAATTCCTTGTTGACTTAACTGCTTTCCCCATCAGGCTAAAAACTCCATGAAAGCATATATTCTGTTTTCATTTGTATCCTCTGTACCTAGGTCATAGCCAGGCACCTAGGATGTGCTCAGTAAGTTTTATTTTTCTGACCAGACTACCAAAAGTATGAGTTGCCTTGTAGCAGAAATATTAAGAATCACTAGCGAGAAAGCGTATGCTTGTTAAGGAAAACATTTCAGTCAGGTGTGCAAGTCAGAGTGTGCTCTAACAACACCAAGAACTGACCATTAACACCTTGGCAATTTGATAACTTCTCTGTTTCCTAGAAGTCCACGTGTTTTGGGGTTTGTTTATAGAAGTTGTGAAACAAAATCTCTTTCTATGTATTTGAAAACTTTCTGAGTTTCACTTAATTTCTTCTTGCCAGGCTGACACACCTTTAAATCCTTGTTTTAGGCCCTCTGTATTTTGTGACCTTCTGTACCCTCCACTCGTCAGTGGCCCTGGTGTTGAAATCTCCTCCTGATGGCAGTGTCTGAAAAAGAGCTGTTATTAAAAGTGTATCCATGTCTGGTGTCCAGAGGTAGGAGAAGCGTGGGGTTTTTATTTTCCATGTTTAATCTACATTTTAACCTCTCTTTCTCCAAAGTTTCCAAACTATGGGCAACTGGTTAAACTATTTCAATTATCGTATCTTCCCACACAGTTTCTCTCATTTTCAAACATAGGCAAATGATTCAAAATGCATCAGACTCTCCCTGGTGGCTGCGCTACAGAAAGTGCAAAGACCGGGATTCAAGTCTTAACTCTACCATTTACAAGCTTGGGACCTTGGACCAACTACCTAACCTCTCTGAACTTCATCTTTCTCCTCTGCAAAGCAAGAATGACACCAACCTCACACCTCGCTCTCTGCCTTGGGTGTGGGAGGCACTGCGTAGATGTTGATGCCCTTCCCAAACAGTTCTGCTATTAATTATACCCATGATCACTCAATGGTCTCTCCACAGATTGAAATGATTTTCTGGGATAATAAATCTCCACTGTTAGTAGGAGCAGTTGCCATCCAGTCTCAATGTCCATATTCACTAAAGCAGCTAAAACTTTTAAGACTCCCATTAAACGATAGGGTTGTTTGCTTTCTTCCCCGCAAAGCGGTACTCACACTCTCGCTCATTCTCGTGGCCTTGGGGGGGGGGGGAGAACCATCCCACATGAGGGATGACCTCATCTGGACGCTGGGTCCAGAATTGAGTCACTGCCCTCTCTGGACGCTGGGCCCAGAATTCAGCTGGACCACCATCAGGGGAAATAAAATCATACAAAGAGGAAGGGGTGCAATGTGCAAAAGTTGAGAGTCAAAAAACTCTAGAGGAAGCAAAATATAAGAAGCTGGGGGCGTGGCCATCTTAGCTTGGCAGTGGGAAACTGCATAGATTTAGATTTTCCCGAAAGTGATTCTTTACCTTTGCCCAGTACCTGGAGTCTACAGAGATTTTTCACAGCTAGTGTCTCCTTTCATCCTTACAACTATCCTGAGAGGTTGGCAAATATTTTTATACCAATGTTTTAGAAGAAGAAACTGAGGAGACTGTGCCCAGATCACACAAGTTTACACAAGATGGAGCTGGGACTTAACCTGGGGCTTCTAAGACCAGTGCTCTTTCTACCACATTCTCCTGCCTCTCATACAGTTGGGGAAGAGGAAGATTCCAACGAATGTCAGGGGGAGCATATATTCAGGAACCCCATCACAGTGCCACAGAGGGAAAACACGAGACTGGGGTATAAAAGACCTGGCCTCCATTCCCAACCATTAACGCTTGAGATGTCAGTCTCCTTACCTCTGCAAAGAATAGGCAGCAATAAATGATTCAAAGTTCCCTCTTGTGTTTCTATTTCTTGAACGTGTGTCTTCAGTTATTTTAATGTATAGCCTAGAAGAAATGCCAAAAAAAATTTTTGGAGTACATCACAAGTTCAGCAGCAATGATGGTACCTTTGACCTGATGTGACCAGTATGGCTTAAAAGTTGAGATTTTCATTCATGGTTTCTTAGAATTAGGCCTCACTAAACTTCAGTTAACCTTTCCACATCTCAGTTTTCTCATATGAAAAACAGGGATGACAATACCTTCAGTACAGGCAAAAGGAATTTTCTACTCCTTCCTCCCTGCCATCTTGCTTTTTCCTAGCCTCCCTGCCACCAACCCAAGGGAAAAGGAGTTGCTAATCTGACTGGTCAGTGTCTGGGACCAGAAATAGAACCTTGTACAGTCAGCCCTCTGTATCCATGGGTTCCATGTCTGCAGATTCAACCAACCGTGGACCAAAAATATTTGGAGATAAATTTCATAAAGTTGCAAAAAGCAAAACTTGACTTTGCCACTCGCCAGCAATTATTTACACAGCATTTACATTGTATTTGGTATTATAAGTAGAGATGATTTAAAGTATATAGGAGGTTATATGCAAACACACACCATTTTACATAAGGGACCTGAGCATCCATGCATTTTGGTATCTGCAGAGTCCTGGAACCAATCCCTTGTGGATACAAAGGGACAACTGTATCCAGGGGGCAGTGTTGTCATCCCTAGGAGTGGTTCTCTTTCTTTTCCATTATATACAGTTGGGTGGGCAATAGGACTCAGCCTTCTCTCTGACTCTCCACCTCCTCTATGTAAGTGCCTAAGAAGGTAAGTTATTAGTCACCTTATTTTCTCTGTCATTTTGTCATCTTTCCTCCATGCATCCTTCTAGAGGGTACTAAGATCCCAAGATTTAGATTCAGGAAGAAGTAAGAGGTTTTCTTTAGACCTCAAGGCCTAAGGCATGTGCTTTTATTCACTTTTAATCAAAACCTTAATGGGGATTACTGGATGGTGGCTCAGTTAATAAAAAGCAGTACTGTCTTCTTTGACTCTTTCTAGGAACTGAGGTAGCTAGTCTCCCAGACAGTCCCCCGTGAGCCCCCAAATTCCTGGTGTTCATACCCTTTTGCAGTCCCCTCCCACACTGTACAGGGTTGATGGGTGTGACCAAGAGAATAAGGCATGAGTGATGGTATGTAACTTCTGAACTAGTTGTAAGAGACTCTGTGGCTTCTGTCTTGGTCTCTTGGATCCTTTACTCCGGGGAAAGCCAGCTGCCATGTTTTGAGAAGCCCTATGGAGAGGCCTCTGTGATTCCTTCTAGAGCAAAGCCATACTCTTCTCTTTCTGCCCCACCCCCACCCCGCCCCTGCACTGCCCCGTGCCCAGCAGCACTCATTATACTTCATCATCCTGACGTGGGGCCTTGTCTGACTTCCCCTTGCTCCATGAGGCCAGGAACGGACTATTTCTTACTAGTCTTTGAACCCTCAGTGCCTAGTGCAGTGCCTGGCACAGAGCAGTCTCTCAATAAATGCTTGTTGAATAAACAAATGGAAGGAAATTTAGTTTTATATTGATAATCATACCTCATATGTAACTAATTTTTTTCCTTTTGTTCAAGTATCAATTTTTAACAGCTTCATTAGAGACAGAATTGATACACGAAGAACTGCATATATTTAATGTGTACATTCTGATCAGTTTGGACATATGCACACACCTGTGATACCTTCATGACAGTCAAGGTAACAGACACACTTCCAGCACAACACCTCCCAAGGTTTCCTTGTGTCCCTTTGGGGCTTTTGTTGTTGTTTTTGCTTGTTTGTTTTTTCTAGGTAAGAACACTTAACACAAGATCTACCCATCTAAGTGTGCACTTAACAAATTTTGAAGTGCACAATAGAGTCTTGCTAAGTATATGCACTAGGTTGTGTAACAGATCTCTAGAATGCATTCATCTAGCATAACTGAAACGTTATACCCAGTGAACAACATCTTCCCATATCCCCCTCCTCTCAGTCTCTGACACTACTACTGTATTCTCTGTTTCTCTAAGTTTGACTTTAGATACCTTATGTAAGTGGAATAATTCAGCATTTGTCCTTCTGTGGCTGGCTTATCTCACTTAGTGTAATGTCTTCAAGGTACATCCATATTGTTGCAAATGGCAGAACTTCCTTCTTCATTAAGGCTAAATAATGTTCACATTTTAAATGTCAAAAGTATAAGGTTTGAAATTTTTCTTTCAGTAGAAGCCAAATATAGAAATCTATACTAGATTTCATAGACATTTAAGATCACTGAATAAGTCTGTGTGTAGAAATAAGGGACAAGTCTAAAGAAATCTCTGGTACTTAAGTAGGGGTTTCTATTTTGTCTCCAAATTCACCCTCATAATTTTAGTTCTAGTGTGTACCATAGGGTGAATCCCTTCTTCATAATTGGAGAACTTTATTTTTTCCCTTCTGTGTCCATATGCCTACTTAAATTATACCCAGGGTTTATCAAATTATACTCAAGCTGAATATTTTGGCCCCAAAGATGTATTAATTCTGTCTCTTACTGTTGCCACTTTGGGGGTAACTGTTTTTACTCAATTATACAGTCCCCTGAGATTGGTGGATATTAATTCCAAAGACTGAGAGGACCTCTATGAAGCAAAAAAATGGAGGGCAAACCACGAAGCCCAGGCTGACATTTTCTTTGTCCCCTAAATTTGCATTCTCAGAATTGAGCCAAAGGCCCCATGAAATTTGTTCCCATCTTTCTGTACCTGCCTTCTCCTTCCCTCAAAAGCAGTCTTCAGAAGTTGATCAGTTGATTTATATGTAGGTACTGAAAGGTTCAAAAACTCAGAAAGAGGCCAAATTTATTTTAAAGATGAATAAGAAGAAAAATGAAGAGTTACCAGAAGGAAGAGGTATAAATAGACATTATACTCATGCTGTATCTACCTCTCTATACAAATTTAGGTATGTGTGTGTGTGTGTGTGTGTGTGTGTATACACAAAAACAAAGCAAACTTCTGTACACAAACTTAGGTGACTGTGTGTGTGTACATACATACATATATGTGTATATATACACATAGGCATATACATATATACAAATACTATATGCGCATATATTTTTAAATCACCCACTTCTTTGGTATAGGGTACAGAGTTCTCATATTACTCTGGGATAATCTCCCAAGGAGCCATTTTATCTGAACACACAGTTCTATTTATCCAGTTTCTGATAATTAGTCTCAGGGGCAACTTTATGCAATACATACTGGCTATGACACAAGGCTTCTCTACTTAAATCAAATGTCCAAACTGAGATCCAGTAAGACAAACAGTACCTTCTCTTTTGCACGTGCCAGTGTCTGGGTATGTGGGATGGAATAAGACGCTGGTAGTGAGGAAGCCAAATCTTTTGAAAATTTTCATCCCCTCCCTTTTCCTAGATGATTCTGGGATTTAGATGTGCAACAAACAAAAAGAAGAGGGACATTTTCTTGGAAGCTACAAAAGACCAATTTACTTTTTTTTTTTTTTGAGCGCTGCAAAACACACATAAAATAGGACATGTCTCTAAGAAGCTCTGACATATCTATCAGCCATGATCTCTTTTGTGTTAAAAGAAACCAGCCACAGAAATATTGTTGCTGCCAAAAAAGCATTGTCTGCATCCCTTTTCACTTCCTCCCTGCAAGGATGCTTCATCAAATCATCACCAGAAGACAAAATCTGTTGCTTTGGGGCAGACAGTCAACGGAGGTTTGGTTGACTTTGTCACCTTGATGTGGTCACAGAGGTATTAGAGGTTGACCATGCAGCTGTTGGTTAAAAATGATAATCATCTGAAGAAAAGTACACATATACTGTCTCTACTTTCTTGGAACTGGGAGTTGGCTTCCTTGGACCATCTCCCCCTCCCTCCAGCTTCAAAAAAAGGAATTGCTAAATATTCAATTTGGTGTTTGCCTAAGGGTAGCTAAACAAGTCTCCTAGTGAGGTGTTTGTCTTTATTTCTGAGAAGGCAGCCTATCACTCAGTTTGATTCTAACAAAAATAAATCTCCCAAAACCAGTAGGGGAAAGGGGACTTATCAACAAAGGTCAACTAGAATAAATATCATCTCTAGTTGAAAATAAGGTTTTCTGTCAAAGCTACAGGAGCAACTGAAAGGCATAAAGAGATTTTTGGGTTCCAAAGAAGACCCGAAGACTCCAGCTGTCTGGTTGGTCTCCAAACATCAGGGAGTAAAGCAATATTTGAATAGTGTCAGCAAAAGTTTCTTCTTCAGAAGTGTTCCTTGGGTGGTGATGGGGTGTGTGTGTCAGGAATATATGGTGGACCACGAGGGGGTCAAATATTCTGTTCTTATGCTCCCAAATTGGCACTTTCTCAATCATATTCTTAAACTCACAGTTGTTAAGGTGATCATGAAGAACGTTAGAAGAAGCAGAATCGGAAAGCAAAACAGGGAGCTGCATAGCCTCATCCTAGGCTTGTTCCCTAACATTAGAATTGGTCTAGAATTCTGTAATTTTTTCCCCTGATCTCCAAAGAGACACCAGTTCCACAGCCAGAGCCAGTGTAAGAAAAAGTGTATTCAAAGCCTTCCTTCGGGGTGTGGCAACTATCTATTTTGCTCCTGGGTCACAGAGTACATCTGAACTCCAACTGCCATCCCTCTTCTACTTGAAGAAAAAAAAAAAGCTGGTTAGTTCAAGATCATGGACTGAGCCAAGATGGCTACTTCTCCTTCCTCCCAAACACTAGGGAAATGAGATACATAACATAAGACAAAGTCTTAGTCCTAGGTAAGACTGAGTCCTAGAAAATGCCAGTTGAATAGAAACTAAAGAAGTTCTGAGTAGTAGCAGACTGGCAGAAATATCAGAGAGATGAGAAACACAGCTGAAGGAGGGGGCTTCTGGATGAATAATTCTCTAGTCTGTAAACTTCATCAGAAAAAGTCATCATTTGTCTTATTCATTATTGTATCCTCTCTTCCTTGTATAGCTCCTGGCACAAAGTGGATGTTCAATAGTGACTATTAAATATGAATACACTGGTTTTCCTAAGAGAAAAACAAACTCAGGGTCAGCAGGAGAGAAGTGTATTATGGGATATCGACCGAGGAGTTGAAGCACTGCCAGGTCACTGTCCCCCAAGTTGCACACTGAGGAGCTAGTTATGGTGTTTGCCCTCAGGCTCTTAGTAAAGAACCAGCCATGGGGGCCTCCTAGAATATTGGATGGGGCCAGACAGAACAGTAGGGCATGGCCCAGACATTACTGAATTGTTACCTAAGGAAAGGCAACTTGGAACAGGTGTGAAATCCTCTGAGGTGCTCCAAGGGGTAACTTTCCCTACTTGCTTATTTGAGGAATGCCTCCACCCTGCTGGCCCATCCCCCTGCCCATAAACCTTGGGGCACAACACATCTGTCAGTCAGTCATCACATTCCAGGGGCATGCCTGGTAAGGGCTGTTGGAAGAGGACCGTAACAATTGCTCAGGAAATGATATAGCTACAAATACTGATAAATGTACATATGGAAATGAACAACCCACAGGGGGAGACAAGATGGCGGAGTAGAAGGATGTGACCTCACCTCTTCTTACTGAAACACCAAAATCACAATTAACTGAACAACCATCAACAAAAAGAGGCTGGAATCTACCACAAAGATACCCTATATCCAAAGACAAAGAAGTTACGGCAAGACAATAGGAGGGGCGCAATAGTGATAAAATCAAATACCATGCACGCTGGGTGGGCGACCCACAAACTGGAAAATAATTATACCACAGAAGTTCTCCCACAGAAGTGAAAGTCTGAGCCCCGCATCAGGCTCTCCAGCCTGGGGGTCTGGCAATGGGAGGAGAAGCCCCCAGAGAATCTGAAAATGAGCAATCCAGAACCATCAGACCTTTGAACCAAACTCAAAGACTAAAAGCTGAACCAGTAAAGAACTTGTTGCAACAAAAATATAATTGAGGTTTTTTTCCTCTCCTGATAACAGGGAAAATAAAGGGAACAGTCAACAGGCTAGAGAAGAAACATAAACAGGCCTGAAAGAGTTAATCAATCTTAGATGTATTTTAACTGTTACTAATCTGTAGTGTCTGTAATTAGATTTGTCCTTCACAAAGTTAACCTGTCACCCCCCCTAACTTGATGTAAATTACGTTCTGCACCTATTACCCCCTAATTCTGTGTAATTTACATCCTGCACCTGGTATTTACTCTCCCTACACTTTCTTGTAGCAAATCACCCCTTGTAGCTGTTTGCACTTCAGAAAGAAGGTCATAGGCCGATAACCCACAGACAAAAGGACTCAATTATGGGGCTGCCAGGCCCAATTACCAGGCTGCCTGACGCCAGCAGTGACTTAAAATACTGCAAGAAGAAGAACGCAAGACCTTCACCACTTTGATCCTTATCACTTACCCTGGACTGCAAGTTCCACCTATAAGACCCCTGTAATTCCTCAGGAGACAGGGGCACAGCTCTTGAGGCACTAGTCTGCTGTGTCTTCCCTTTGCCTGGCAGAGGAATAAAAAAGCCTATTTCTTTTCCTCCAGATCTCTGTCTCCATATTTCTATTCAGCATTGGTGAACAGGGAGCCAAGGTTTTTGGCAACAAACTGACATCTGAGGAATGAGCAAATGTAAGAAGGCTTGAAAATATTTTATTTAGTACCTGAGATACAATGGATATCACATCCATTAAACAAGAGTCAGCTGCCATAGAAAAAGCAGCAATCAGAGAAAAAGAAAGACATCTTAAAAATTAAAAATAATGATGAACAAATTCTAAAACTCAGTGTTGGAGATGAATTACAGAATAGATACAACTGAAAAGAGAAGTAGTGATTTGCAAGACCAAATCAAAGTATTTTTCCCTAAACATACAGCAAAATAATCAAAGAAAAAAATTTTGAGAGAAAAGAAATATAGAAGATTCAGATGAAAAAAAACCTGTTTAGTAGGAATTCTAGGACATAATGGGGGAAGTGAGACCTGGCCCTCCCCACCATGACTCCCTGGAATAGAGCTCCTGTGACTTACTGTTTTGCTGAGAAGAGGGTCTGGGGAGTCCTGCCTCAACAACTCCCTATTTGTTATTTCTGTTGAACAATCTTCAGTCATTCTATCTTTATTCTTATGTATATGTTGTGTCTTTTATTTGGCTGTTTTTGAGATATTTTTCTTTATCCTTTCTTTTCAGCCATTTAACACAATGATGTGCCTTGATACGAATTTCTTTTATGCATTTTCCTCTGGGGTTTACTGGGTTTCTTAGACTTATGGACTGATATTATTAAGCAAATTTGGAAAACTTCAGCCAAAAGTTCCTTAAATACTTTTTGCCCCATTAGTTCTCTCCTCTCCTTCTGAATAACACATATGTTAGATTGCTTATTTTCCGATAGTTAAGTGAGGCTCTGTTCATTTCTTTTCAAGTTTTTTTTTTTTCCTCTTTTCAGTTTGGTGATATTTGTTGACTTTTCTTCAGGTTCCCTGATCTTTCCTTCTGCCATCTCCAAACTGATGTTAATCACACCCAATGTTTTTTCAGGTATTCTATTCTTTATTTGAGATATTGTATTTTTCAGTTCTGCGATTTCCATATATTTCTTTTTGTTTTTCAGCATTTTCATAACTTTCCCCAAATCCCCATGTCTTCACATATTATATCCACTTTTGTATAAATTATTTAACATATTTATAATAGTAATTTTAAAGTCTTTTTTTTTTTTTTTTTTGCGGTACACGGGCCTCTCACTGTTGTGGCCTCTCCCGTTGCGGAGCACAGGCTCCCGACGCGCAGGCTCAGGGGCCATGGCTCACGGGCCCAGCCGCTCTGCGGCATGTGGGATCTTCCCGGACCGGGGCACGAACCCGTGTCCCCTGCATCAGCAGGCGGACTCTCAACCACTGTGCCACCAGGGAAGCCCTAAAGTCTTTACATGCTAATTTCAACATCTGCTTTGTCTGTGGGTCTCCTTTTATTTTGTTTTTGTTTTTTGGTGTCTTTATTATGGGTCACATTTTTCTGCTTCTTTGTGTGTCTGGTAATTGTTACTGTACACTGGACACTGTAAATGACATACTGCGGACAATCCAAATTCTGTTATCTTCTTCTGATGAGTATTGGGGTTTTGCTCCAGAAGGCAGCTAAATTTCTTGTGGATAACATTACTCTTCTGCAGGCTTGTTTCTCCATTTGTTAGGCTAGTTATATTTTAATTTTATTCTTAGTCTTAGGCTCATAGTCCTGAGCTCACAGTCCTGAGATATGGTCCTTATATCTAAGGCATGATGCTTCCGGCATATCATAGAAATGCAAGACATATTTACCAAGCCCCTCTAATTTGGTAGATTTTAACTTCAAACTCTGTCTCCCCAGTACCAGGCAACTGCTGAAGTCTCTGCTCAGTTCTTTCAGCCATCCAGCTGTTGTTTTCTGCTCTGCTCCTTGAAGACTTGCCCTGTGCCTTTGCAGTTGAAGAGTCAGCCAAGCTTTTGAGAAGGTTTTGTACATAGATCTGGGGGCTCCTCCCAACCATCACTCCTACCCTTCTGGGATTTCCCTGCTCCCTTCAACTTCCAGTTGCTCTGGCAGCCTTGTAGTCTGGCCTCTAACTATTTAGCCCAATAAGTCTGTGTTCTGCAGACTAGTGAATGTCTGCAGGGGAAAAGCCAGTTAAATGTGAGTTAGCGCTCCTCCTGTTTGTGCCTGATTTTGGTCCTTCTCTAGTGCCTTGAAGTAGGTACATAAGCAGAGTTTATAATTATTATCAGTAGGATGCTTAGTCTGATACAAACTACTTGCCATTACTTGAAGCTGGAAGGCTTTATATATTTTTAAACATAAATAAGGTCATGTTACATATTTTATTTTATAACATTTAAAAAATTGAACAGCATATTTTAGATATTGTTCTGTGTCAGTATATATTAACTGACCTGATTTCCTTTGTCTGACATATGGGTGCTCCAAGTATTCGACGATAAGGCTGTATAACAGAGATAAACTGTTAAGTGGAGTTGTGGGTTACGAATTAGACCTCTCTCAATGTTCATTGAAAGATACTAAATTACCTTCTTTTGAATGCAGCACCTTATGAAGACTAGTTATATTTGGGTATGCAGCATCATGAATTTAAACAATCTTCCATTAATGTTTTTTTGGTTGTTTCAATTTTTCTTATTACAGGCAATGATATAATGAACATCCATTCCTTGTATGTTAATTTTTCTATAGAATCATTATCCTAGGGATGGAATCACTGAGTAACAGTAAATCCACATTATTATTAAATTTTAATTAAATTAAATAATTTAATTTTAATACATTAAATTAATATATAAATTAATCAATATATATTAAACATATTAATTAATTATTAATATATATTAATATATTAATTTAATATAATGTATTAATATTGAATATTATTAAATTTTAATATATTCAATATAATTACCAAGTACTCTCCATAAAGGCTATATAAATATATACACTCCAAGAGTATATGAGAATGCCTACTTCTTCATAACTTTAACAACACTGGATATTATTCTTTTAAATCCTTCCCATACACACAAACCACCCTAATGGCATTTCGTAAGAGGGGGATTGTCCAGCCTTCTTTTGCTGTCCTCAGTCTTGATTCTGAGCTATTGTCCCTTTCAATTTTCCAACACTGTGTCTCTGCCTTGCCCTTTGAACTAGACCATTGATGTCTGTCTCTGGGCTCCCCATCAAAAACCATTTGGATTCTACTTCCAGGCATGCTTCCTGACTTTACTGGTAAAACATAATCTCCAGCTCAACCTGGCCCAGGGCTTTATTCTTTAGTGTTGCTCCACCATGAGTATTCAGTTTACCTCATTCCCTTCACATCCCCTCACCTATCTTCACAATTTACCTCACTCCCTCAATCTAAAATAGACATTTTTGTCTTTGTGAATTAAGGTGAGTGCAATCTGAACAACATATGTGCAATAATTGGTTCAAAAGTACTGTCTCAGTAAGAAATGCTCTAAAATGTCTCCAAAATTATTGCTGTAGCTTCCATACCTTCCTTCCTTTTAAAAAGTAACCACTAAGAGAGCAAATAACATCTTGGAACATTTTCTCAGTAAAATATATGTGAAGGAAGAGTATAAAGCACTTTAAATATAAGAAACAAAACATACATATTTTCCTGTACTTTCTCTGGATTCCCACTAACTGACATGAAGGGATTTTTTTTGTAAAGACATAAATCTAAGAGGGAAAAGAGAACTGGAGACAAAATGATAGCCACAAAATGTTGCAAATTAGAAAACAGAAGAAGGAAAGACAAGTGACCTAGCAGACGCAAGAAAGCTATGTCCTAAGTGAGCAAGCTAAGTCACAGCCCATTTTCCAATACATATAGAACCCCAAAGGCTCAAGAGTTAGAAGCATCAGGGGTTTATGATTCAGGGAAAAAGGAAAGGACAGAAGTCTAAGGGGCAGCTAGACCTCCCTCCCAAATCCTCTTTCTTACTTTGTGCAACCAGGTGACAAATTCTTCTACCTCAGCAGAAAATGGGGATTCTGGACAAAGTAAAAACAGAAGGTCTCTGAGAGGAGGACACACGGTATAGCTGAGGGCAGTAACCATTTTGAAAGCAGAAGGATTAAATACTAAATATTGAAACCCTCCCCCTAAAGCTCCTGGCCCTCTTCCATAACATGGTTTTCAGAATACAATGCAGGATTATTAGAAGATTCTTCTCAAGAGGGAAGACAGTAGAAGCAAGAAAAGCTACAATCCTGCAGCTTGTGGCATGAAAACCACATGCACAGAAAGACAGACAAAATGAAAAGGCAGAAGACTATGTACCAGATGAAGGAACAAGATAAAATCCCAGAAAAACAACTAAATGAAGTGGAGATAGGCAACATTCCAGAAAAAGAATTCAGAATAATGATAGTGAACATGATCCAGGACCTCGGAAAAAGAATGGAGGCAAAGATCAAGAAGATGCAAGAAATGTTTAACAAAGACCTAGAAGAATTAAAGAACAAACAAACATAGATGAACAATACAATAACTGAAATGAAAACTACACTAGAAGGAATCAATAGCAGAATAACTGAGGCAGAAGAATGGATAAGTGACCTGGAAGACAGAATGGTGGAATTCACTGCTGCAGAACAGAATAAAGAAAAAAGAATGAACAAAACCCAAAGTTAGTAGAAGGAAAGAACTCATAAAGATCAGAGCAGAAATAAATGAAACAGAAACAAAGAAAACAGTAGCAAAGATCAATAAAACTGAAAGCTGGTTCTTTGAGAAGATAAACAAAATTGATAAACATTTAGCCAGACTCATCAAGAAAAAGAGGGAGAGGACTCAAATCAATAAAATTAGAAATGAAAAAGGAGAAGTTACAACAGACACCACAGAAATACACCATAAGAGACTACTACAGGCAAATCTATGCCAATAAAATGGACAACCTGGAAGAAATGGACAAATTCTTAGAAAGGTATAAACTTCCAAGACTGAACCAGGAAGAAATAGAAAATATGAAAAGACTTATCACAAGTAATGAAATTGAAACCGTGAGGAAAATCTTCCAACAAACAAAAGTCCAGGACCAGACGGCTTCACAGGTGAATTCTACCAAACATTTAGAGAAGACCTAACACCGATCTTTCTCAAACTCTTCCAAAAAATTGCAGAGGAAGGAACACTCCCAAACTCATTCTATGAGGCCACCATCACCCTGATACAAGAACCAGACAAAGATACTACAAAAAAAGAAAACTATAGAACAATATCACTGATGAATATAGATGCAAAAATCCTCAACAAAATACTAGCAAACAGAATCCAACAGCACATTAAAAGGATCATACACCATGACCAAGTGGGATTTATCCCTGGGATGCAAGGATTCTTCAATATATGCAAATCAATCAATGTGATACACCATATTAACAAACTGAAGAATAAAAACCATATGATCAACTCAATAGATGCAGAAAAAGCTTTCAACAAAATTCAACACCCATTTATGATAAAAACTCTCTAGAAAGTGGGTATAGAGGGAAACTACCTCAACATAATAAAGGCCATATACGACAAACCAACAACAAACATCATTCTCAATGGTGAAAAACTGAAAGCATTTCCTCTAAGATCAGGAACAAGACAAGGATGTCCACTGTCAGCACTATTATTCAACATAGTTTTGGAAGTCCTAGCCATGGCAATCAGAGAAGAAAAAGAAATAAAAGGAATACAAATTGGAAAAAAAGGTAAAACTGTCACTGTTTGCAGATGACATGGGACCATACATAGGAAATCCTAAAGATGCCACCAGAAAACTACTAGAGTTAATCAATGAATTTGGTAAAGTTGCAGGATACAAAATTAATGCACAGATATCTCTTACATTCCTATACACTAACAATGAAAGATCAGAAAGAGAAATTAAGGAAACACTCCCATTCACCATTGCAACAAAAAGAATAAAATACCTAGGAATAAACCTACCTAAGGAGGTAAAAGACCTGTACTCAGAAAACTATAAGACACTGATGAAAGAAATCAAAGATGACACAAACAGATGGAGAGATATACCATGTTCTTGGATTGGAAGAATCAATATTGTGAAAATGACTATACTACCCAAAGCAATCTACAGATTCAATGCAATCCCTATCAAATTACCAATGGCATTTTTTACAGAACTAGAACAAAAAGTCTTAAAATTTGTATGGAGACACAAAAGACCCTGAATAGTCAAAGCAATCTTGAGGAAAAAAAACAGAGCTGGAGGAATCAGGCTCCCTGACTTCAGACTATACTACAAAGCTACAGTAATCAAGACAATATGGTACTGGCACAGAAACAGAAATACAGATCAATGGAACAGGATAGAAAGCCCAAAGATAAACCCACACACCAATGGTCAACTAATCTATGACAAAGGAGGCAAGGATATACAATGGAGAAAAGACAGTCTCTACAATAAGTGGTGCTCGGAAAACTGGACAGCTACATGTAAAAGAATGAAATTAGAACACTCCCTAACACCATACACAAAAATAAACTCAAAATGGATTAAAGACCTAAATGTAAGACCAGACACTATAAAACTCTTAGAGGAAAACATAGGAAGAACACTCTTTGACATAAACCACAGCAAGATCTTTTTTGATCCACCTCCTAGAGTAATGCAAATAAAAACAAAAATAAACAAATGGGACCTAATGACACTTTAAAGCTTTTGCACAGCAAAGGAAACTATAAACAAGACAAAAAGACAACCCTCAGAATGGGAGAAACTATTTGCAAATGAAGCAACGGACAAATGATTAATCTCCAAAATATATAAACAGCTCACGCAGCTCAATATTAAAAAAACAAACAATCCAACAAAAACTGGGTAGAAGACCTAAATAGACATTTCTCCAAAGACATACAGATGGCCAAGAGGCACATGAAAAGCTGCTCAACATCACTAATTATTAGAGAAATGCAAATCAAAACTACAATGAGGTATCACCTCACACCGGTTAGAATGGGCATCATCAGAAAATCTACAAACAACAAATGCTGGAGAGGGTGTGGAGAAAAGGGAACCCTCTTGCACTGTTGGTGGGAATGTAAATCGATACAGCCACTATGGAGGACAGTATGCAGGTTCCTTCAAAAAGTAAAAATGGAATTACCATATGACCCAGCTATCCCACTACTGGGCATATACCCAGAGAAAACCATAATTCAAAAAGACACATGCACCCCAGTGTTCATTGCAGCACTATTTACAATAGCCAGGTCATGGAAGCAACCTAAATGCCCATCAACAGATGAATGGATAAAGCAGATGTGGTACATATATACAACGGAATATTACTTAGCCATAAAAAGGAACGAAATTGGGTCATTTGTAGAGACGTGGATGGACCTAGAGTCTGTTATACAGAGTGAAGTAAGTCAGAAAGAGAAAAACAAATATCGTATATTAA